AAAAGAACTTTGATCTCCTTCATACATTCTACCGCCACAATAGATGCGCGTAAAGTATCCGATTCCAAGTATCGGGAACTCCCGGGAGACACCAATGGATGCAGTCTGCATAGTGCAACGGGTCAGCCTTTTCCTCATCCGTCAACAATTTTCCTCTCAACTCCGAGTAAACCGAAGTGTGTGCATCAACTCTATATTCGGACAATTGGGTTACATTAACCAAAGTCACAAGCACCTTCATCTTCGCCACCACTTGGGCTACCGTGCCGATCATCCCTTTATCTGAGCTACTTCCCCAATATCGCTTGTTGGCGATAGGTTTTGTCTCGTTAAAGCATTTCGTGCCGTTAAGGTTTCCCCAATCCGCGCTCCTAAGGAAAAAACGAAAACGAAAAAGAAAAGCAAATGTAGTTTGTTATGACAAAAACATCGTCACAAGAAAGTTGAGACAAAGGACACGTTCGTCAGAGTGAGTTGTACGGACTTTAGGTGCGTAGGGGACAATTTCGTGAAAAACACACGTGTTTTGTTTGGGTCGACATTCGAGTCCACCCAATTCGCCCACGTCTTGAGCCCGATTTTGTAGGCGATGGGCGTGTCGAGTTCTTGGTATCCTTGTTCGTTCGCGAACGAGCCCCATCTGCCCTTAGAGAGAGGGAGAGAGGGAAACAATTGAGAGAGAGAGAGAGAGAGAGAGAGAGAGAGAGAGGAGAGTATATTACAGTGACTTGGTCTTAATATCACTAATCCACCAAACATAAGTGTTGAACACAAGGAAATCAACTCCAATCCAGTGTTTGCCATGCTTTCCAACTGAATCAACTCTCAATATTCTCTTCTTTAGATCAACAGGAAACTCTGAGTTGGCCTCCACCAAGAAAGGAGCCCAGTAGAACTCAACAGTAGCATTATAGTCCTAAAAAACAATACAAAATTTTACAGACTCATATTATGATTATCATGGGACTAAGATGGATAAACAGAGGCACCTCTGCTTTGAAGACACTATGCAATCTGCCTCGTTTCATGGACTTAACGCCGTTTGGTATCACGGATTCGACTAGGCAAACAAAGGATTGCCATTGCCCTCTCTGCAGTGAATCCCCTACAAACATTAACCTCTTCCCTCTAAGCTTTTCCAGCACTTTTCTAGGATCAAACCTAAACAAAACCAAAAAAAAAAAAAAAAATGAAAAATGAAAACTCCAAATATGAGTTACGAATCAAAAATCATTTACTAAAAACGGTAAAAATTTTCCATCACTCGATTAATTACTGACCGGGGCAAGATGCAGTCATCGGGTTGCCATTCCCAATATCTATAGTCGGAATCTAGCCGTCCATTCTCGACACACGTGACTTGCCTGTCCAAATACGGGCATATCCTGTCCGAATACAGAGGCTCGATCGAACGGTTGAAAACCCATCTCCCCTCGACCAAACTGCATTCTTCTGGATCAAACTCAAACCGGTCATCCACACCGTAGTTCCGCGCACTTTCACGCACGCTAACTTCTTCGCCTGTCGAAAAACACAACACGTGTAATTCAAGATTTTGTTTCCAAACAATCACTAAAAAATATACTCCCTGCTTTTTAAATTATATGTCGTTTTGACTTTTTTGATTCATCCATTTTGCTACGTATCTAGACATATTTTAATGTCTAGATACGTAACAAAATGGATGAATCAAAAAAGTCAAAATGACATCTAATTTAAAAAGGAGGGAGTACTAAACTTTTGATGATTGGCAATAAACAACCATCGTTTTTTACGTGTCAATTTATGACTAACTTTAATCATTTACTCGCTCACCGAAAATCAATTTTGAAAAAATAAATATCTACGGTTTTCTACGCAATTTAATTCAACTCGAATTAAATATTTAGCATAAAAAAATTTAGTCAAAACCAGGTCAAACCCAAGTTTTTTGTAATTGATTTTCTAACAATTATTGTGTGTACCTGAAATAGATTTCTTAGCTGATTTTCTTCTGAGATAGGCATTGGAACCGAAATTCTGAGTTGACAAAAGCACGACAAAGGCTAAGGCGCAAATTATGGCGGTAAAAACAGGCAATGAGATCTTTATTCTCGTTTGACTCGGAATGCCCATTGCAAGAATCGAATGAAAAATTTCGGAACTATAAGCTCGACAAGTTCGGGTGAAGTTATGACATCATGGTTTTAGGAGTGTCGATTCTTTCTTTGTTTTCTCTATTTATTTTTTTTATTTACATAACGAAACGGGGTTCGAACATTGTGCTCTATAGCTCTAAGGCCTTAAAAACCTTCTAAAAGGAGTGTGCAAGTGAAACAGAATGACATAAAACATTACTTGAAAGAAAATTTGAAGAATTGTCTTTCATGGCAAGTTGAGTTGAAGTGAAGCTAAAGCCTTGTATGGTTTTTG